GAGCACTCTGTGCCTTCATCCAGGTCATTGATGAATAAATTGAACAGGACTGGACCAAGGACAGTCCCCTGGGGGACCCCGCTAGCTACAGGCCTCCAACTAGACTCTGCACCGCTGATCACCACTCTCGGGGCCCTGCCATCCAGCCAGTTCCTAATCCACCTCACTGCGCACTCATCTATCCCACACTTCCGGAGCTTGCCCAGGAGGATGTTGTGAGGGACGGTGTCAAAAGCATGATTGCCCCTTGATGAATCCATGATGACTACTCCTGAGCACTTCCTTGTCCTCCACATGTTTGGAGACAACAGCCAGGATGAGCTGCTCCATGTTTTTGAAGACTGGCGTGACATTGGCCTTCTTCCAGTCTTCCGGCACCTCCCCCGTTCTCCAGGATCTTTCAAAGATGATGGAGAGCGGCTTAGCTATGGCATCTGCCAGCTCCCGGCAGCACTCTGGGGTGCATCCCATCAGGGCCCATGGATTTGTGGGTATCGAGGTTCCTTAGGTGCTCTCTGACCCAATCTTCCTCTACCCAGGGCAAGTCTTCCTCTCCACCCGCTTCTTCTCTTGTCTCTAGGGCCTGGGGGTCTAAAGGGCTGCCCTTGGTAAACACCGAAGCAAAGAAGGCATTGAGCAACTCTGCTTTTTCTGTGTTATTTGTAACCAAGGTGCCCATCCCGTCCTCCAGCGGACCCACGTTTTCCCTGATCTTCCTTTTGCTGTTAATGTATTTGAAGAATTTTTTTTTGTTATTTTTAACGTCCCTTGCCAGCTTGCCTTCCAGACGTGCCTTAGCTTTCCTTGTCGCATCTCTGCACTCCCTGACTATGTTCCTGTATTTCTCCCAGGGGGCCTGTCCTTTTTTCCACATTCTGTATACTGCTGCCTTCTGCTTGAGCATTGCCACAAGCTCCCGGCTCATCCACGCAGGTTGCCTGCCCCCTCTGCCTGACTTCTTACACACAGGGATGCACTGTTGCTGGACGTGGAGGAAGTGCCGCTTGAAATCTAACCAGCTCTCTTGGGCCCCCCTTCCTTCTAGAGCACTAGCCCATGGGATTCTACCGAGGAGGTCTCTGAAGAGGCTAAAGTTGGCCCTCCTGAAGTCCATCGTCGCAAGGCTACTTACAGCCCTGCCTCCTCCTCGTTGAATCCTGAACTCCACCAACTCATGGTCACTGCAGCCGAGGCTACCCCCCACCTTACCCCTTACCCCCCACAAGATGAACTTGTTCATCTGCTGCCAAATACTCAAATTTTACACTCATTTCTTAAACTTTTATGACCCCCTATCAACTGAACTGTTCATATGGGAAAAATATTTCCCAGTTTATCAAAGATGCCCTTTGGAAGGAAAGAGGGAGAAAACCCTGAAAATTTAAACAAAATAATCTTATCATATATATGTATTTGTGCTTCATTTCATTTATCAGCAAAATGGCTATTTCTAAGCATATTTCTATGCTTCAAAGAAGTGTTGGTGACATTTTATTTCTATCTGCAAAACATCCTGAGCTCCTCACAAATATATTATGCAAGTAGGCAGTGCTCTAATCATTCACTACCTACCTCTTCATACTTTTCTAACAACTAGCTTGTAACTACTTTCCTAAAGTGCAATTTAATCACTTGAGGGCCTCAGGTGGCTACATTGTATAGAAACATTCACAAAAGAAATGTATAGGACACTAGCCACATTCAAGGTACAAAGTAATCGCTAAATAGAATTTATTACTCAATAAAGACAAAACAAAATTAAAAAAAAGCATTTCCTTCCATGAATCTCTACAGCTGAGGGCCCAGTCAGTTGATTATTAAACAAAGGTAGGAAATGGCTGTATCCTGGTACTTCATTGTAACCACATGAGTCAGTGCTTTGGAACTCAGTATCTGTTCTTCACTCTCTTACCAGAAAAAAAAAAAAAAAAGAAAGACAGATAAATGCTACAGGCTGTTCAGATAAATGCTTTGCTCAATAAAGATCCCTTGATCCTTAATTTCCTCTTCCTAATCTCCAGCTCTATAATAACATTTATTCACTAGCAGGAAATCACTTGTGACCAGCTATTCTACTGCTATGATGGTACACTACAGAACTGCTGTTTCAAAATAATGATTGTTGTGGAGAAAGTGAGAATGTTTGCAGATATACAAGGCGATTCAGTAAACCTCAGTGGAACACCACTCTTGCAAACTCAAACATAGGAAGGTTACACGCAGTAGTAACTAAGGTAGCTGAGCCACAACACTTATTAGTGAGCATGTTTTCTCATGGTCAAGGAGATAATTTGTGCAATAACATAAGCATGAAGAAACAGTGGAAGATTTGCCAAAACTGCATTGCACAGTTTTGACCCTGCTCTTCTGACCAGCCAATAGTACTGTTTATGATATGAATGACCAAATTAAAATTAGAAGAGTTATACTTTAGTATGTTGATAAGACACACTAACTACTGGGTATACATCAAAATGTTTAAAATATGCCTTTAAAAATAAAAAGAAACTATTAAAAACTTTATGGTTTTATATGACTAGAAATCATTTTATCCACCACAGATATGCAGCTTCCTCTAGGATGGAAGAAGTCACAGCTCTTGAATAGAAATATTACACAGAAGTGATGAATACAATATCCAGGTGAAACATTCCAAAAACATAAGGAGGCAGAACCAAACTGTAATCTGACAAAACTCTATGGTTAATTAAATTCCCAGTTAAGATAATTTTACTTTACTTATATCTGTGGTGACTGCAAGTTATCAAAGCTTGACCTAATGAATTCAATATCCTGTACAATTACAATGTGCCACTGTTAGATACAGGGAAAGCTACCTCATCCAAGCAAGGGCAACCTTAGTCCAAATACAGACTCCAGTAATAGGATCTATGAACAAACAACTGCATTAAAATAAAGGATTCACGTTGGGGGGGAGCATCAAATTGAAATGCATTATGCTATCTGTAGTATTATTATAAAGTATTACTTTAGCTTTTTTTTTTATCTTGATTAGTTATTGCACATTGTCAATGGTGTGGTAATGTTCAGTTTTATAGGACCATTGCCAGTTATAGAAATATTGTTACTGTTCTTTTGGAAGTGTGAAATTTCAGTCTATATACATAAAAATAATTCTTATTTGCTTTCAATTGAATATTTTTTCTGTATTTCAATAGTATTTATGAAATTTTAAAATAACTTCTTAGTTTTTGCATTTTATGAAAAAGAAGTCTTAGTTGCTCTTTATATAGAACAAAGAGATTTCATCCTTTGAAATCCTTACATTTCTTTGAAAAAAAATGATTTAATTTTAACTATGGCACTCCCTTGCATATATTATGAAAAAGTTATGTTTATTATGGATCTCTTGCTCATTTAAAAGATTAACACAATACTCTTTTTCTAACATCTACCAACAAAATGTTAATCGACAAAGGGTTCTTCATAATTTAAGGAGTCAAATAGACTGCATTAATAGAATTCAAAATGGAGTATATAATGAAGAAGAAAATGCATGAAATTACCTCAGTAATCTCAGGAGATCGAATTTTTTTACAGAGGTACAAAAAGCTACACAAAACACAGTTTATAAAATGAAAAAAAATGGCAATGATACACTCTATGCAAAGGAAAAGTTAAAAGCAAAGTACAGTAACAGCACTATCTTGTTACAAACACTTGGCAGTGTGTCTAAAGCACCACGGTCAAAGCAGCATGATATAGTGCATGTCGTGTTCCTGCCAGAAGCACAACCTGGCTCCAATACTCTAGCCATCATCACCACCTCATTTGGCAACAGCTCCAAAGACTCAGTTCATCTATCCTAAACTTACTCCACATGAAGTAGACACAAACTTACTCAGCCCCTACTTTTTCCATGCTGATGCTGCTGTACTGAACACAAAATCAATGATGTGATCAGTACAGATAATTAGCAGCATTTTGAAAGGATAAAGTAGACAAAGGGATACAAAGAAAACTAGATGATGTCTCATTTATTAGGAGTTGATTTATGAAAAGTCTGAATGCTGTATTTTACTTTCTTTAGAGTTATTGCTAAAATTAGATTCTCGACAACAGCCTACCCAAGAAAATTTATGAATTCATGCACACAATTTATTGACTGCCATCTTTCTTAAAAAGATCACATGTAAACTGGAAGGATTTTTTTTCCAAACAACTTTGGGGACTGTGAGATTTGGGTGTTTTGGTTTTGATAAGCAAAACTTAAAGTGTAATTAAAGGTTTAACTATTCAGTAGAGTAGGGATAACAATTAATTTCAAAGTCAGCTTGGTGTGTACCAAGATATAATCCAAAATATCTAAGAATAAATGCTGTTATGCTAATAAAAATATTTCTTCTTATATCACTTTTTTTTTCTAAGGTTCCTTGAAGACACCAAAGTGGAAGTTTCCTTTAGTGTCTATCATGATCCCATTGATTATATTAACAATAAAACACTGGTTCATCTTCAGTCTTTCTCCGTGAGTTTGTTAGATAGGACTACCAGAATGGAGGACTGTATCCTGGAAAGCTGTGACTTTGAAAGGTTTTAAGGATCATAGTGGGAAGACAACTCAATACAATCTCCCAGCCATAAACCAGAGTGAGAACACTTTTAGCTCTATGAGAAAGGACAGGGACATCACAAACACAGTTCTATGTTCATATTTTACTGAAGGATACTCAAGAGGGTTGAGAGAAACATGATTCAAAGGTCAGAGAATAATGAGACTTGTTCAAAAAGGAAGAAAAGTGGTTTGATTTGATTAGTCTAAAAGTACTTTGATAGAGAGAAAACATCAGGTCTTAAAGAGTTGTTCAATTTACTGGCGAAAGGCAGAACAAGTGTCAGGGATTGCAGCTGGTCTGTGAAATTCCGGGCTCCCTTAGCAGAGAATGCTAACCTTGAAAAGATTAGAGTGTGTCTATGAGATAGGGAGTTCACATGGAGACAGCAGAAAGTTATTAACAAGTTTAAGGAGGTTTTGGCCACAGAGCAGAAACTGGCCAAGCTAAGAATTGTCCAATCATAACTCTGTCACTAGCTACTGTCCTTTGTAGTCCTCACCAATAAGCAGCAGCCACGACGAGGAGAGCTCAGTATAAATAATGTCCCTAGAAAACAATAAAGCGTAGTTTGCGTTGCATCTACCCCAGTTGTTTGTGTTTTTGGCCGCCACGACTGAGAGAAACAAGAACTGTAAGGTGAAGCTAAACAATCTCAAATTAGCAAGACCACGAGTGACAAAGCATTGGAACAAACTATCAAGAGAAGCAATGTATATCCCTCTCCAAATAAGGATGGAGAGCTTTCTGGAAACAGACTTAACCAAGTACAAGTTGCTAGGCTCAAAAGAATTGTTACTAGATTACACAGAAGTCAAACTACAGCATCAAAAATCCCTTCTGTCCTTCAACTCCATGTATTTGTTTTCTTTTTTATAAAATAGTCTAGGAAGTATTAAATATACTTTAGAAGAAACAGATGCACAAATTATTTCAATTTTATTCCTTCTGAGTTGAGCTTGACTCTTAGCATTCTTTTCACAGAATATTTTAAAATGAAATTAGAATGAAGAGTGGCCTGACACAAAGCAAAAAGCTATCTTACATAACCAAAACTGTTTCTTCAGTCTGGTAATTTCATTCTTTCCCAGTAGTAAATTTTAAGATACATTAGTGCTCTTGTAGTTTATTCCAGATTATATCACTTCAAAGAGATGTGACCTTGACTAACTATTCTGTAAAATGGGGATAATGCTACTTATTTACATATCTCAATACATAATGAGTTAAGGAGAGTAAAGTTTGATTAGTTAAAGTGCTTTTACGTGCCATGAAGTTGAAAAGCAATCTGTAAAAGCTTAGTTTGTGTTGCACCTTGTGAAGAAACGGACTCAGTCTGGGGTGCAGAGTGAGACAACTTTATTTCCAAACCAACTTCTTTTTATACTTTCTTAACACAAGTGTTGCAAAGCTCACAACCAATCAGCATCTGGCCACCTGCGGGGATGTCTGGCTTTGTTTCTTTTCTTCTGACAAGACACGTCTCACACGGGGCAGGGGGAGGTGTTCCTCAGTCCTCCTCTTTCTTGGCTCTGTCCCCCATCTGCTGCAAAGACTGACATCCTTGTGGTTAACTATCTGCTAACAAGGTACTATTGTCTTTGAACAAGCCTCCACAAGTTTGATTAACAGAACTGTGCATTTTAAAACTCTATACAAGTTAAAAAAAATGGTATTCATTTCAATAATCACTAATAATTATATTGAAGAGAAAGTCCAGAATTAAATTTCTTCAAGGCTGTTCTTTTTTAACTGCATTCCTGAGTGTTACAATGTTCAGGACTGAAGTCCTCCCACCTTTGCATTAACACTCAGGCTATTATGAGCCTATTATGACCTATCTGCCAACCTGACCTCTTGTCTAGAGAGGTTTACGCTGACCAGGGGCTCAAATACAAGATGTCATGGAAAGACTTACAAGACTTGTCCATGTGTCTGACTATTACCCTCTGCTGCTCTTTAATGTGGGCATTAATGATACCAAGGTGTGGAAGAATTGTTTGAAAGCGGGAACTGAGAGAAAAGCTAGGGCCTAACAGAAGTTTTGGCATTACAAAAGGTTGCTTGGGGTGATACACAGTTGCCACTTCCAGGATGGCTGGTACGTACGGACTCAGTTCCTCCACGGTTCCCTAGGCAACACAATCTGCCCTCCTCGCAGCTGCAAAGGGGAGTAAGGGAGGATGGAGCGGAGTGAAGACACCGCGGCCAAACTCTGTTGCACTCCCTGTGCTGGGCTGCTGATAAGCCGCACAGTAGCTGTCTAATGGGAGATATATGATAACATG